GGGTTGTATTGAGACATTTTGGGGCTCGGGGTTGTATTGAGACATTTCAATTCAAGTGCTGTTTGGTATCTTTAGGTTGTTTGAAACCTTAAAAAGTTGTTAGTGGAGCCCAAAATCCCTCTGGTTCAGATGGGAGAGGGAATGTGCACCTGTAACCCTCTGCCCAGGAGGGGCAGGGAGGTGTTTCCCTCCTGTTTGAAATCACCAGAGAGGAGATGCTGTTCTTTTCCAGGCTGGATGGGGCTTGGAGCACCCTGGCCTAGTAGGAGCTGTCCCTGCTCATGGCAGGGGTTGGGCTGGATGTTCTCTAAGGTCCCATCCCACCCAGACCACTCTGGATCTGTGATACCTTGTGCTCGGCCCCTCAGCCTGATAATCCGCCGCGGAGCCGCTGACGCAGGAGCTCCCAAGGAGTCCTTTCCTTCAGGCTTTGGGAAAACTCATTGCTCGGCGTGTGAGGGGGGCGTTGGTGGCCGTGAGCCTCACCCCTGGCACCCCTGGTTGTGGCAGACATCACGCTGTGGGGGCTGGAGCTGGGGCTGATGTCCATGGCCCGGGGCGAGGTGGCGCGGTTCTGGTTCAGCCCCGAGTACGCGTACGGCCCGCGGGGCTGCCCCCCACACATCCCCCCGGACACCACCGTGCTCTTCCACGTCGAGCTGCTGGACTTCATCGACTCCAAGGAGTGCGACGTGTTCTTCGAGCTGAGCGACGTGAGTCTCCTTAGTGAGGTTTGGGAATGACACACGGTCCTTGTCCTCGTCCTGCCCTGTGGTTTTCGTGGCTCGTGGTTATGTTGGAGGGGAATGGAAAAAACATCCAGAGTCCCTGCCCTTCGTGTCCCTGCCGTGCGGGTGCTGCCTTTGTTTGCTCCTCTGGGCTGGAAGGAGTCGGTGGAACTGCTCCTGGTTATTTTTAGCTTTACCAGAAACCTCGTGTTTACAACTAGAGGGCACCAGCTTCCAGGAATTCCTCTAAGGAGCAGGAAGGAGCTGTCTGTAACAATCCTGCTCAGTCCCAGTGCCCCCTCCAGCCCCCACCCTTTTGTCCCAGCCTCTTGGCTGCTCTCCCAAGTGCTCCTTCCCTGTTCTTTCCTCCCTGGTGAGTTACGGTGTTATTGTTAATTCCCCTTTTCATGTCAAGGGCTTTGGGCTGTGGTTGTGGGTCAGTGAGTGGGGGCAGAGGCTGGTGGGGGAGCCTCTCCTGCCCCTCTCCTGCCCCCAGCACAGGCTGATTTTTTTCTCCCACAGCCCTGTGAGGAAACCACACTTGTAGCACTCCCTCCTTGCCCACCCTTTCTGGCTGACTGACCTTTCTCTGTGCTGGTTCCAACTTGCAGACCCAGGACAAAACCTGTCCCTCCATTTTTATCTTTTTTTATGATTCTTGGGACTTTTTTTTTTTACTGATTGGTGTCTCTTGGGGGTGTCAGATTGTCCCAGAGTTGCCCTGAGAGCAATTGGAGCAACAGAGCCTTTCAAGCAGCTTTGTGCCAGTGACAGCATTTGTGTTAACTCAACTGTGTGCTGAGGGAGTTGGGCAGGATTTAAGGACACATTCCTGCTTTTTTCAGCCCTACTGTGGGCCTGGGGAGCTTCCTGACCTCTTCATCAGGAATTACCAGCACAAAAAGTTTCAGCCTGACTGGGGAGATGCCACATGGTGATGGCCTGGCCTTGGCAAGGGCCTGGCTGCTGCTTTGTGAATAAGAGGGGGCTGTGCAGGCCTGTCCTGTCTGGGCTCTGTGCTTGTTTCCTTTTGTTTGAGCTGAAATTCTGGTATTTCTTTCCCCAGGCACAGCAGGACACGTTTCCTCTAGAAAAGGTGTTGAAAGTGGCAGCCACGGAGAAAGAGTTTGGCAACTACTTCTTCCATAAGCAGAACTTTAGGGTTGCCAAGCACAGATACAAAAGGGTATGGAGCCAGGAAAAGGTGGGATGTGCTTTGGGAAAAGCTGTGGAAGCAAAGATTGTTGTTAGCTCACCACAGCAGGTACAGGTTAGAGAGCAAATAACTTCATTGTCTCTTCCAGGCATAGTTTGGTATCAAAGAACAGGGCTTGGACACCTGGTTTTGTGGGGGCAGCTGTGGTGAATGAGGGAATAGAGTCACAGAATCCTTAGGGTTGGGAAAGCCCTTTGAGATCATTGACTCCAACTGTCCCCCAGCACTGCCAAGGCCACCACTGACCCATGTCCCCAAGTGCCACATCCACACATCTGTTAAATCTCTCCAGGGATGGGGATTCCACCACTGCCCTGGGCAGCTGTGCCAGGGCTGGACAACCCTTTCCATGAAGAAATTCTCCCTAAAATCCAACCTAAACCTCTCCTGCAGTTGCCTCCTGCAACTTGAGGCCGTTTCCTCTTGTTCTACCCCTTGTTCCCTGGGAGCAGAACCCAACCCCCCCAGTTCTACTCTCCTATCAGAGAGTTGGAGAGAGTGAGAAAGTCCCCCCTGAGCCTCCTTTTCTCCAGGCTGAGCCCCCTCAGCTCCCTCTCCAGGCATGGAAATGCTCAGTTATTTCCAAACTGGAATGAATCTGCCACAGTTTCAGAGCTGGTAAAGATTCAGAGTTGCTTTTCCTTGCTATTTTTGAAACAAAATTAATTTAACTTGCCTTTCTCCCTGTAACATTTCTCTTCCATGTTTGTCCTTAAAATCTCAGTCCTGGATGTAATTTTCTTTTCATTCTGCTGCTTTCAAGTTCCTTGATCAGCTCCTAAACCCGTGGCCACGTGGCTGAGCTGAGAATGCCCCGTGCTATTTACAGTTCTGATTGTTATTACTTTTAGCTGACTGAGGTGAGCAGAAACGTGGGTGTAGCTGTTGGATGAGGTGGATTCCTCACTTTCCAGCAGGGATTTGTTGTGCACTGGTTGTTTTTTCCCCCCTCTCTGCTCAGGCTCTCTCCATCCTGGATCGCAGCTGTTCCAGCGAGGCCGAGCGGAGCCAGATCAACACTTCCAAGGTGCCTCTGCTCCTGAACCTCTCCCTCACTTACCTGAAACTGGAATGTCCTGAGCGAGCTTTGAAATACGGGAAGAAAGCCTTGGAGATGGACCAGGGAAATGTCAAAGCCCTGTTCAGGTGTGGCCAGGTGGGCACAAAGAAATCCTTCTGGTTTTATCATCCCAGAACACCCCAGCCTGGCTGTGGAGGGAACCCCTGGATTCTGCTGCAGTCGAGGTGGTTTGGCTGCACCTGCCCCTTCCCTCTGGGAATCTGTCACCTGGAGCTTCTCCTGGGGGATTCCTGAGCTACCTAGCTCTGTCTCAGGAATGTTTGTTGTTGAGTCCTGAAGAAGGGCAGTGAGTCTGTATTTACCTTGCAATGCACCCATCTTCTTCCCAGGCTTGTCTCTGCATGAAGGAATACAGCAAATCCCGGGATTTCCTGACTAGAGCCCAGCAAATCCAGCCCTTCAACCATGATATCAACAACGAGCTGAAGAAGTGGGCAAGGTGAGAGCCCTCCTTTCCATCCCTGGAAGGCTTAGACAGGCTGAAACACCCATTCCAAAACATTTAAACTGTTCAAAAAAAAAACCAAACCCAAACACCAAACTGTTGGGTTAGTGAGTGACTTGGGAAAAGGCAGGTGGGGAAAACTGCTTGAAACGTTTTTGAGGCACAGCAGCTGCAGGTGAGGAGCTGGGAGCACCCACCCTTTCCATGCAGTTGCTGTGGTGGGATGGGAGCAGGTCAGGATGAGGACAGGGATGTGGGGGCTGCCAAAATGCCTCAAACCCAGTGAATTTAGCTCAGTTGGTTAGAGCTTGGTGCTAATAATGCCAAGGTTGTGGGTTCAGTGTCTGGAGGGGCCAGTCAGTGAAGAGTTGGACTTGAAGATCTTTGTGGGTCCCTTCCAGTTCAGAATATTCTGTGACTCTGTGAAATGCAGTTGGCTGGACCTCCAGCTGATCATGTCCTGGATTAATAAGTATGATTTTGATTCCCTTTAAGACGTGTTGGTTGATCACAGCAGCTTTTCTGCACTGCAAGTGCTTCAGTGCACAATGCTACAAATACTACTGTTTGTTAACAGTGAATTTCTTGCTGGTTTAGTGGTAATAAGTGAGCAGCCCTGAAGGCAAACTCTGCCTTCACCCTCAGGCTGAGTACAGGACAACCCTGCCAGCTTTAGTCATGGCCCAGCCCCACCAAAACATGAGTAATGCTTGTCTCTGCCCTCATTCTGCTCTTCCTTTGAAACTGCCAGAAGCACCAGCTAGTTCCCAAAAGTATGTGCTGTCCTGGCACTGTTCACAGGGGCAGGAGTGATGCCATGCCCAGCTCCAGAGCTCACAAAGCAGCCCTGGAATATGAACCCCCTTTTGTGTGTCGCTGCCAGGCACTTGCAGAAAGGTTTGTAGGCAGCAACAACATCTAAAAGAGTGGCTGGTGCTGCTGGGAAAGCCAGTCTGGAGGGCTGAGTGCCTTCTCCAGGGAATGTTCTGTTGCAGGGCTGTTCTGTTACATCAGTGTCCTGTGTATCCACATCATCTTTGACAGTCTGTGATGACACCAAGTCTTCAAACTTGTTCTGTTACTTCTGAAGCACAAAGAGCTCGAAGGCAGGATTAGCTGTTGGTGTGGAAATCTGAAATAAAGCCCTTGTATTCATCCAGATCTCCCTCTGGGTGTGGAGCTCCCAGACTGTGAGGTGAGGGCAGTGAGTTCTGCGCTAGATCTGGCTGCTCTTGGAGGCCTGGGTCGTGTTCAAGGCTGGAAGGCCTCATTCTAGAAGCCTCTTGTGTTCCCTTAGGTTTGTTTGAAATATGCTGGCAGGTAACAGAGGAATCTTGCTGGCAGTGTTGAGGTGGTGCTGCCAGGAAGCAACAAGGCATTTGTGCCTCTGTCTGCTCCAGCTCTGGAGAGAGCAGCACCTACAGCCAAAGGTGTGTCAGAGCTGAGTGTGCATTAAACCACTGTTGTCCTGCAGTTCCTGCTTCAGTGCCTGGTAAAACTGGTATATTTTTTGTTTTTAACCATACAATGGGTTGGGTTGGGTGGGACCTTAAAGCCCATCTAGTCCCACCCTTTGCCATGGGCAGGGACACTTTCCACTAGCCCAGGTTGCTCCAAACCCTGTCCAGCCTGGCCTTGGACACTTCCAGGGATGGGGCAGCCACAGCCTCTCTGCACAACTGTGCCAGGGCCTCACCACCCTCACAGCCAAAGAATTCCTTCCCAATATCCCATCCAACCCTGCCCTCTGGCAGTGGGAAGCCATTCCCCCTTATCCTGTCCCTCCATCCCTTGTCCCCAGTCCCTCTCCAGCTCTTCTGGAGCCCCTTTAGGCCCTGGAAGGGGCTCTCAGGTCTCCCTGGAGCCTTCTCTTTTCCAGGTGAACCCCCCAGCTCTCCCAACTTGGCTCCAAGCAGAGTGGCTTCAGCTCTTGGAGTATCTCTGTGGCTTCTTCTGGACTTGCTCCAGCAGGTTCAAGTCCTTCCTGTGCTCAGGACCCCAGAGCTGGAGGCATCTCTGCAGGTGGGATCTTTTACCACTGGCAAAGAGTGGAATGAGTAAGAAATAGATGAAGCCAGTGTTAATTGGATGTTGTTAATGAGGCCTTACCTCAAGCTCCATCTGGAATGTTGCCTTTGCCTGAGAAAACTTGCAATGTGATCTGGCAAATGCTTCAGAAATTGGAGTATGGATCGAAATCCTGCTTTTAGAGGCTTTTCACTTCCTTACTGGGTACGTTTATCCTCTGCTAAGAGGAATGTCATGTTAATCAGCAGCTGCCTTTTGCTGTCTGAAACAAAGCTTTGGAAAGCATCTGTTTACCAGCTGAACCAAGTTCTTGGCAAAATTCACTTCACTGGAGAAAAGGCAGAATCCAGGGTGAGGGGCATGTGGAATGTGTGCCTGGTACCAGCTGTGGTGGTCTTGGTGCAAATTCTGCTGCTGGATTTGGGAATTCTGTTGGAAGGTTTGTGTTGCATCAAATCTGGGATGAAATGGGGCCGTTCCAATGTCTGGCATGAATCTGCCCCTCCAAACAAGGGACTATTGGATTTCCTGCTGTGGCTGGTGTGGGAATGTGCCATCCACAGATGGGCATCCATGATCTGCTCAGCCACGTCTGTCTGAGCCTTACCAGGAGAGATTTGCTGTGCTGGGATTTCACTTCACCAAACCTTCTGAGGGCTCTGGGCCCGGAGGTGCTGAGGGCAGGGCTGGGAGAGCTGGAGCCACCCTGGGACTGGTTCTGCCGTGTTGCACAAAAACCTTTGCTTTTGGCCTTATATGGCAGCAGATGCAGGAAAACTGACCCCGTGGGCAGCCACTGCTCCCTGGGACAGCTCCCAAACTGAGTCACCCTGTGGCTCAGGGATTCCTCACCAGTGAGGTGAGATGAGAGCACAGGGAGCAGAGGATGCTGTGCCTGGATAAGCAGGGATTCAGATGGAGCAGGCTGGGAAGCTTCTGCTTTTTTGAAGTGAGAACAGAGGAGGGAACATCTACCTTGTCATCCACTTAGTCCTGACACAAATCCCTGCTGTCCCCTGCCCATCCTGTGTCCATGGTGGATATCCTGGTGTAGGGCACTCAGGCAATATCTCCTGGGTGCTGAAGGAGCTCCTGCAGGGAGACACAGAACACAGCACACAGGTGGGGTTCCTCTGCACTGTCCCACGCTTCCAAAACTGGTGTAGAAATCATCTGGCTCCCAAAAGGCAAATAAATGATTTAAGTTGGATTAGAAAGCTACACCTCTACCTCAGTTAGCTTCGTCCAGTAAAGCAGATACGCAAGATCTGTGGAGGAGGCACAACATTTCCAGCTCTTCTTCCCTGACGTGGCAGAGAGAAGGACTTGGATGAGCTGTGTCTGTGCTGCAAACACACTGTTACATCAGGCTAACTTATTTATGTAGAAAAGTAATATTCTATAGAAAAAATAAGCTCTGTTTTTGAGTTGTGGCCCTGGCAGTCCCCAGCCCCTGATGCCATCCTGTCTCTGCTCTGCAGGTGCTACGAGGAGTACATGGAAACGGAGAAGGGCATGTGCTGCAGAATGTTTGACAGCTCTTGTGGCTGAGCAGGAATCAAGGTAACCAGGCTGTAAAAAAAGGCTGAGCTTTCCCCAAACCTCTGTGCTGTGTTCTCAGGTGGGGAACCTGCTTCTCTTCTGTGTGGGAGGGTTTTGGAGGCAAAGTGGAAGGTGAAGGGGAAGGGCGGGATGGTGGAATGTTGCTGCATCATCAGCTCGGGGAATTTTTCCTGGGACAGGGACCTGGAACTGCCAGGAGTTGAGTAAGTTTGGTTTGTTGTTTCCTGTGCTGCTTATCCCAGCTATTCCTGCTCAGAGCCAGGGGGAGGAATAGCTCTGTAGTCTTGTTTCTCTGCCAGTTAAAAGAAAAAAAAGAACAAAAAAAATTTGTTCCTGTCAAACTTAAGAATTGGATTTCCTCCTCCCCTCCAGCTCTCCTGTCTGGAGCTCTTGGAATGCCTCACTTCAGAAAAATCTAAATATTTTATTTCTGGGGGTTTTTTTGTTTTGTTTTTTTTTGGTTTTTTTTTTTTAAATATTAAAAAACCTGTTTGGAGAGAAAATTTCAAATGACTGTTTTGGACTCTTTAAAGCCTTAAATCTTCCAGCAAAATTGACGGGTTTATAAATGCACAAAGGCTCTTTGATCATTCTTTTTTTTTTTTTTTTTTCCTTTTTTTGTCAAAACCTTCAGGGGGGTAGAAGGGGAGGGAGTGGAAATCTTTGCTGGTCTCTTGCTTTGGGGTAAACCCAAGGGAAGGAGTTGTGGAAAATGACAGCAGCCTTCTGTCAGGAAGCATCCCCAGCTCGGGGCCGTCACTGTGCTGCTGTTTTCTCTCTCTCCTGAAGCACAGGCAGCACCTCCTTGCTTGCAGAAAATGAATATTGGCAGCCTTTCCATCAGTGCAATGGTGTTTTTTAAGGTTGACTCTTTTGTCTGTGCTTGTGAGGGAGTTAAGGCAGTGTTCAAGGAAGAGGTTGGGTCCTAAAAGAACACAACCCTCTCCTGGCTGGATGTGCCTCTTTGTGTAGCCTCTACCCTTCCTGCTGCCCCTGTGCCTTGGGCCAAGCTGAGTGTGTGGCCTCAGAGCACAAATCCTTCTGTCTTGGCTGTGGGATGACACTGGTGACACCTGTCACAGGTACCTGCCCCAAGAAAGGAGCTCTGAAAGGGGATTTAAGAGTGACGAGGTCTTATGCAGGAAGTCTGTGGCTCTGGGCTTGGCAAGAGGCTCTGCTTCTCCACTTGCTGAAGTCCAGTTTGGAAGCCTGTAGGACCATCATTCCTGATGGTGCCTGACCTGGGAAGCTTTTTGTGTGGCTCTGGGCATCAGCTTGGCCCTGCTTTGTGGTGGGAGCCTGAGGGATTGTGGTGATCTGGGGCACCACACGGGTCCTCCCCTGGGAAGGTTCTGTGGCCTCTTGTTTCCCAAAAAGTGGCTTGTGAAGGTGCTGATTTCCACAGAGCTGGTGGAAGTAAACCAGTGGGTTTGGTTAGGGGAGAATGAGAATTACAAAGGGAAAAGGAGACACTTCTATAGGGCTGAGTTTAAAAATTGGGCTGAACTCATCAGCCAGAGTTTATCCACTGACCCCAGTGTGTGAAGTTCTCCCACCTTACACAGCTTGGAAGTTGATTTTAGTTGCAGCATTAAAAATAGACCAAGTGTCCCAGACAAACATAAATCACCAAGACCTAAACAGGATTCTGCTGTTCATTCATGGCAAGAGAAATCCCTTTGCTGGAGGAGGTTCCTGCAGGGCCTTTGAGCTGGAAGTTGGGCTGCTGCTTTAAAACCTCATTACACATTCAGAGAGGAGCAAAGCAGTTCCAGCAGGAGCTCCTGCTCCCTGTCAGAGGCACTGGGAATTAGTGAGGCTGGAGGCAGAATGTTCTTTAGTGTTTTCTGACAGCCTTGTCCCAGTTTAGGGCACAAACTGTACTGGGGCAGTCTGGCTCCATCCCTTCTGTGTTAGGCACTGAGTGAGGAGATGACCTGGGAGTACCATGGTTGATGATCCAGTGGAATCACAACAGTTGTGGAAAACTGTCCTGCATACCAGCTGGCAGGTGCTTGTGGAGCACTGAGCTGACCCATGGTCCAGCTCCCAAATGTCTTGGAGCTGTAGCTGTGGCTTTTCCTCCCTCCTGGAACACTGCTGCATCCCTCCCCTGCCTCAGAGCTCCTTCCTGGGTGCTGTGCCTTTGGGGAGTCCTGCTCTGCTGCAGGGACAAGGTTCATTCCTCTGCACTCAAGAATCCAGGGCTGTGTTGTTTGTTTTGTACAACTGCACCCAAACCTGGGCACACCTGAGCATCCTCCTTCTGCCCGGTGTCTTTGCAAGGAATTTTGCAGTGATAGGACGAGGGAGAATGGTTTTAAGCTGAAAGAGGGGAGATCTACATCGAATATTAGGAAAAAATCCTTCCCTGTGAGGGTGGTGAGGGCCTGGCACAGGTTGCCCAGAGAAACTGTGGCTGTCCCATCCCTGCAAGTGTCCAAGGCCAGGTTGGACAAGGGCTTGGAACAACCTGGGATAGTGGAAGGTGTCCCTGCCCATGGAACAATATGATCTTTAAGCTTCCTTCCAAGCCAAAGCATTCCATCGTTTCTGTGTCCTTCTCACTGTAGAGCCCAGTTCCTCAAATTGCTACAAACAACATCTTGCTCAGAACACAGTTCTCACCTTTTTAATGCAGATTGTGGTCAAAATAGATCTTTTCTTTGGTGAAATGCAAGGCTGCTCGTGGTACTACTTCCTGGGGGGATTCAGGAATACTCAGAGGGAAAAATAGAGGCACAAACACTTTCTTAAATCCATCCTGCTGCAGCTCCTTGGAAATGTCTTGTGTCTCCTGCTTGTCCCTCTCTGGGTTTGGGGTATTTACCTGCCTCTGTCCCCTCTGTGTGGTGCAGGTGTGTCAAGCCCAGTTTTCTGGGATGTGCAGAGCTGGAAGTCCTCCTTGGTGTCCCCAAAGCTGCAGGATGGTGGGCTGAGGCCTGCTGGCTTATGGGAGCTTTTGGTTGTTGTTTGAAAGACCCAACATTAAAAAAAAATGGAATTTGTCATCATTGTATTACTGTGGTTCTTCATTGGAAGAGATCTAAAGCATGAGGAGTGGGGACAAATTCCTTAGGAATGTCTGGGTTCTAGTAGAGGGTCCTTGGTGATACTTTTGTCCCAGAAAGATGAGCATTTGAGCTTTTTTTTGTTTTTCATTATAGGTGGGCCAAAGTTGAAAGCTTGTCTCTTAATGTGCACCTCAGCTCAGTACACAGGAGAAGTGGTCTCAGGAGTTGGGAGCACACAGGGAAATGTTCCAGTGCAAACAAACAGGGCTGAAATTATGGCAGGAAACAGTAACTCTGAGGTCAAACTTGTGATTGCCATGAATAGCAAGTCCTACCAATTCTGAAGGCATTAATGGGTGAGAATTGGCTGTAGAACTGGGGCTGTGTCACCAGGTAGAAGTGACTGTAATTGGGTTTAAAATCAGCAGCAGTTGCCAGTTAAACTGACCTAATAAGCTGAAAGAGACTTTCAAATAAACTGAGTCTGTGCATAAAACAAAGTCTTGCCTTGGGAAAGCTCCAGACTTGGAGTAAACAGCAACTTGCTCCTTTCCCTCCTGCTCTGGTTGTTCCTGGGATCTGAAATGTGCCTCCTGCTGATCCTGTCCCTCCCCACTGCTGAGCAACACAGAACCAGCAATTCACTGCTCCTTTAGAATATGCAAATTCCTGTCCCACAGAGGTGTCCTGTGCTGCAAAGGAAATTGTTAAATCTCTGCTTTCTGCTGAGCCTGGCTGGGTGAGGGGGAAGGCTTGAAGGAGGACTTAATTAAGCATTCTCCTTGTTAAGCAGAGGAAGGAGAAAAGCTTTTAATGAGGTGGTTGGGTTGGGGTTTTTTGTTTTCCCTCCAGCTCTCTTCTCTTCTAGCATCTTGCTTTTTTTTTTTTTTTTTTGTCAGAGTTGTTCTGCAGTTCCTTCCTGCAGCAATACCTGTAATATCTCTGTGGTAGGATCTTGGGCTCTGGAAACTCTGGAGACAGGACTGCAGGACCTGCTTTTAGGGATGCCCTGACATGCTTTCCCAGTGGGTGTACTGGACATGGGCCTGGATGCACTAGGGGAGGTTTTTCCAGACTGGGAGGTCTGGCTTGGGGCTTAGAAGCCAAAATAGGATGTGAAAGGGAAAAGAGGGAGATCTGTGCAATATCTCAGTGTCCTACAGTGCCCATCCTCCAGCCTCATCCAAGGACTGCCTTGGGGCCCTGGGCTGTCCTCTCTGACTTAGGAAGTGCCTAAAGCCTGGGATTCCCCCTTTGTACTCAAACACAAAGCTCCCAGGTGAGGCAGGAGCAGATCCCTGGCTGCATCTCTGACAGGAGGGTGGAGCCAGGTGGGGGTCAGGCTCTGCTCCCAGGGATCAAGGGACAGGACCAGAGGAAATGACCTCAAGCTGTGCCAGGGTAGGTTTAGGTTGGATATCAGGGAAAACTTCTCAGTGGAAAGGGTTGTAAAGCATTGGAGTAGACTGCCCAGAGCAGTGGTGGAGTCCCCATCCCTGGAAGTGTACAGAAAACATGTGGATGTGGCACTTAGGACATGGTTTAGTGGTGAACAAGGTTGTGCTGCACTGATGGTTGGACTTGATGATCTCAGAGGGCTTTCCCAACTTTCTGTGAGTCTTGTTTTCCCCCAGCTCCTGCCTGAGGCCACCTGGCCCTGGGAAGGCCAGGCTGAGTCCTCAGGGAATACCCCTTTGTGGGGGGTTTTACTTCTCAGAGCCTTTGCCAGGAGCTCTAATACAAAATATTCTACTGTTACAAACCACTAGAGTGTGAAGAAGGTCCTGGGCTCTTCTCATTCCCATGATAACTCCTGGTTTATCATGCAGGTGCAGTTTAAAGGGAATGGGTTATGTGTAAGATGGGAATTTCTTTATGAACTTCTAGCTTTGCAGGGCATTTAGTCACTGGCCCTCACTTTCAGCAGCAAGGAAACACACAGTTATCCTATTTTTTTATCTGAATTATAATTTTTAAAGCCTTCTT